AAAGATAAATATAACTTTTTTCACAGTTAACGCATCTGATTAAAAAGACGGTTCTAATACATAAATCTTCGTGCCAAACTTTTAGAAGATTTTGATTAAAAGTCGTTGAAAATCGTTGAAAATCAACTGTTTTTTGTTTGTTCAAACATAATTTTTGCTTCAATTAATCGCTAACAACATCTTTAAGACAAACAGCAAAATCTTTTTACACTTGCTTATCGGAGGTGAAAAGCTGGATTAGCAAAAGTAGTTCCAGCAATCCTGACTTGCTTTCCTGATTATTTCACAGCTTAAACAGTAATGAAAATTTGCACTACTATACGAGCCACCGTCAACATCAGAAGTTTTCCAGCAATCAACGTGTCGCTCAGAAAAAGTTTATTTCAGTAGAAATTAACACATCAGTGGTTGAATTCTACAAACGCAGATCCTGTAGAACTTTACAAAAACCACTAGTGAAAGACTGTTAATTTCAGAAAAAATAAGATGAGTAAAAGTGAATTTTTTTGAACTCATGAGGCGCAAAATATGTTCGCAGTTACAGTGATGCTTTTTATTCATTTACCTATCCATTCTGTTACAAAGTGTTTTTGTTTGAAACTTACTAGTGAGTAAATGTACTATTAGAAGTGAAAGAAGCTGACCAATAAATTTGAAACCTGAGGACCATCACAGAAAGAAAGAAAATAAATTGTAGCGTTAAAATTATTCATAGAAATATAAATTATATTTTTAATAATTACAAACCATAAAGGTTACATGTAACTTTAGTCATCCAATTATACTATACTGTATAAGTAGAATTAGGAATTGATAAAAGTCTATAATATTAGCGAAATTCAAAAATTTGGGATAAAAACTGTTTTTATAAGTGCTGGATCTGCCGACCAGGTCTACGCAACTTCAATGTAACTTGCAGAATACTGACAAAAGTAGGTTCTAAAAGAGTACATAAATTTTAATTATACAGTAAACAGTTCAGTAACTGTGAGTTTTACTATTCAAATTAATTAACAGTAAAGATGCAAGTTCTATTTACAAAGATGTTTAAAGTAAATTATTTAATCACCTTTAGAGCACTTTCCTCTTAAATCTGTGTTTGAAAAAAGCACATTTTAAGTTGATTAACTACTCATACTTTCTTTCAATTTAAAATTTCCAAAACTTTTAGTGTTTTGTAGGTTTTAATAAACAGCTTTTATGAAAGTTTTTTACAAAAATAGGCTTAAAATTGCATACAGTAGGGTTGTTTTAATAGATAACCTTTTTGTGATTCGCTTTTCCACTACTGTTCCACTAATATTGCTGTTAAAAGTGTAGTAATTATTCTACCGTAGTATATAGTTTTTTAAATTCTCAAAATTTGGTTATTTTTCGTGCTTTTTTGATCAATTTGAAAAAATGTTGCAATTTTTAAACTGTCAGTCTCTTTTTTCTTGAATTATGTTTAACGTGTAAAAAGTGAATACTAAATATATAAGCTTTTTGAAAACAACTTTTTAAGAATTTACTGAACTGACTTCTTTAATTTTTTGAATATAAAGTTTCTCATAACTGTTTCTTTTTTAGCAGACGCCGCTCGAACTAGCTCGACGTAAGTCACATCAGAATGTAATGAAACTTTTGAAAGGTTCGAGTGGAGATGAGTGACCTATGCTACTACTTTGATTCACAGAAATTTGTAGGCTGAAAGCGAGTTGTGCTCGCCCCGTGATAAATCTATTGACTCTGCGATTTTTTGCTGTTTTTTATTGTAGATAATGTTCGAAGTTATAGAAATGTACAAGGAAAATATTCAGTTTTATTTACTTCTATTGCTCTTTCGCCTAACTAATTTCACCAGAACAGCAGAATCCGTGGTTGGTTTGCAGTTTGTTTTAAACAGAATTTTACAGTTACTGGAAGAAGAATTTGAGCGCTGAAAGTTTAAAAGTTAGCATTAAAAAAATTTGGATCTGTGGAGGAAAATAGAGAGAATGGCAATTTAAGATTCAGCAACGAATTTTTTGGTGAGCTGTTCTCGAGTTTTTTTAAACTTGTTTATTTGCCTGTTTTCTTCGCAGCTACAAGTTATTTATTTCAAATGCTGACTCTAGCTTTCAAAAAAATAAAATTTCTTTACAGTTCTATGTTTAGCAGTGTTGTATTACTACCTGGGAAAAACGCCTTTTGGTTAAAATAATCTGAGTATATCTGTTTTTTTCTAAAAACAGCAATACTGAGTTTGGAACCTTTAACAGGACTTTTTAGTTGTGTTAAAGATTGTCATACTTCTTACGTCTTTTTTCTTTTTGGCTGTCAAGAGTACGATTCACAGTGTTAGACATTTATTATTTCTCAAAGATTATCATTTATTAACTTTGACTGCACAGATGCCAAAACAGTTTCAGCTGTCTCAGTAATCTAACAACGATTGCATGTAAGACAAACGTTTCCATGTTAGAGTGCTGCCTTCCGTTTGATCAAAGATATAGAAAGCTGTTTTAAAGGCTGGTTATGAATCCACAACTTCTTTATCTAGTTTTTGCTTCCGTTTCGTGGAAGACTCGGCCTCAACGGTGATCATTGCCTCTTGCATTGTATAATAAGCATCATCCGTCAGATTTCCTTGCTTCTCCCTAAAACTCTTCATTGCCGAAGTAGAAACTAGTGAAATAATCAAATTTAAAATGATTATAAAAACATTTTGAGGGCGATTTATTATTGTAGAAACAAGATTTATACCATAAATTATGTCTCGTTGGTAAAATCACTGCAGGTGGCTGTTTGTAGCGGTTATTTTTGTTCTTCGCTCCTAGCGCTATTTTCCTATCCTCGTAAAGCCTCTTCTCTCGTAAATACCTAAAAACAGAAAATTTTACTTTTATAAACGCTAATTCTTGAATATAAAAGCCTTAATTACTAAATCAACAAAATAAAAAGTTTTTGCTATTCTATGCAATTGCTTTAATAAGCAAACTCTTTGACCATTTTCGATTTTTATTTCTGACAAATAGTTCGTTTTTTAACTTATTACAATAGCCTAATTAGCTCTTATTCAAGATGTTATTAACACTAATTTTCACTAAAAAGATGAAATTGAAAATCATCTTCAGAAAAGAGCGGAAAACAGAAGAAAAGTTAGTTTTATTTATTTGTCAGCGTTAAATGAACACTTTAATCGCAGGAAGTGACTGCAGCCTACTTTTTTCTTGTTAACTCCAAGTAGCTGAAAAAAAAAAAAACAAACTTGATTCTATGGTAGCAGAGGATGCAACTGAATACGGTGAATACCAACGCTAACAAACAGACAAACACTCCAAGTAACAGTGTGACTTCGCTGCTTCTTGTCGTCAACAGACTATGTGTTTCTGGTGTCTGCTCTGCTTGCTGCAAAAAAGCTTTTTTTTTTCAATTTTTCCTTCTTAAAAAAAATCAAAGAATACAAAATGTGTCAGTATAACGTGAATTTTATTTTAAAAAATGTGTCAAATAACTGTGATAAATAGCTGGGCATTAAATATAAAAAGTATTATTAGTAAATGAAATCACTTTACATCTTTGCAAATTTAGTTGTACAAGCAAAACTGGCTACCATCACCTGACACCAGTAAATGACACTTGCAATAAAAGTAATGTTCTTCTGTTACATTAATTTTCAAATGATAAGCAGAGTTTAAAGTTTTGTGAATCAATAGGTAATTGGCCTTTTCCTTTTGAAGTTTAAATAGTAATATTAGAGTTCAAAAATATAGTTTTCTTATACAAGAAGAGTCCTGTATTTTTTTAGCTGTACTGAACTACTTGGTGAATTCCCCATATTAATTCGCCTCTTTGTTATGCGATTTCTCTTTAAACCTCTACTGGCATTTTAAATTAAGTTTAGTTCCAAAACCGTACATATTAGCGCTTCTTACTAAATAGTGCAAGTTCTGTGATTTTTTGATCAAAGGCATATAAAAAAAAACACTAGGTTTTCAATGAAATTGATAAATGAGTAATACTGCAAAGAATACCTGGCTAGAGAAGAGTCTTGGTTTGAGAAGCTTGCTGTCCAAGGCATTTCTATCAACTGTATTAATTGCTTCATCACTGTTAAGCACCCTACCTGCAGTTTCGTTGATAATAATGAACTGGACGCGAAATGGTTGTCTTTGGAAATGATCACCTAATTTAAGATAACGTAATCCTAGGAAATGTGCCTGACATTTTGCCAGTTCTGAAATCTGTCTGAAAACAACAACTGTTAGAAAATTGAGAAATTACTTGTGAAATAGCAAAGAAAGAAGTATAAAAAAGAATTAGCTGTATCATTTGTCAGTTTATTCTACCTTATTTGTTGTTGCATTGTAAGAAAGTTAAAATCTTTTGGACTCTCGTCAATTTCAAGTTCCACGACGTTCTTATTATTGTAGAGCCAAACCTCAAAAAATTATTGCTTTTAAGAAACAAAAAAACTGTTTTTTGTACTGTTATCCTTGTCCTAATTTTTTGTTTACAAGTTAAAACCGAAAAATGGTAATATTGGCCGTCTGTTCCGTACTTTGAGCTGCACGTAGGCCAAATGAGCTTCAGCTTCTGACGAGTCGGAACTTGCAATTTTGCAGTCAAACAAACCAGCACTAAAATCACGAGGTGATCGTCCAAGGGTGACATCGCCAGTTTTTTCATCGATAGTAATAAAGCCGTTTGCCTGACGAGTTTTGCCCAAATGCTGATAAATGACCTCTTCAATGCGGTAAAGAACTGCATTTGAAGCTGAAGTTTTTTTTGTATATATTAAGAAATAAGAAACTACTGTCTCCACCGCTAAAAATCTCACATTTAGAGTCGTCCTTAGGCAGATCAGGATCTTTTGCACGAACTGTTAGCAGTTGTGTGCCTGCCAGAGAGTCCTGTCGCACAGCCACTGTATAAGAATTCTTTTCAAAAATAGGTCCGTTGTCGTTCCTAAACGGCGCGTAATATAGCTTCCTTAATTTTTCTTTTCTATATGAAGAGTAGAATTGCACTGAGCGACAGTTGTTGCGGAGTATGGGCAATATTATAATCGTTCAATAATACTTACACATCAATTATTGCGATATGAACAAAGGCTGTTGTAGAATTATCTGACATATCAGTCGACAAGGGAACCTCTTGATTCGAGACTAGTATCTTTAATCTGAAAAAAAAAACAGTACCAAAGTGCGAAGTAGAAAAGAATAACAAATAGGTAAAGAAATCCTTTGATGGCCATAACGCGACTGAACAGAATGGTGGTTTGAAAATCCAATTTAATTTAAAAAATGAAAAAATTGTATGGGCTGGAAAGCACACAAATTTAAGTGAAGCTTTTAAACTAACAGATAGTCTTCACAAACTTCTCGATCAACGTCAGAAGTTAAAGTTAAAAGCCCAGTCAAGGTGTCGACACTAAACTGGTCTGTATTATCCAACAGGTGATAATAGAGCGAATCACTTGCATCTCTGTCTACTGCACGAATTTTTCCGATTGTCTTACCTAAGTCATTGCTAAAGTAGCAAGAAAGTGTTCAAAAACCTAATTAATTTGCTCGCTGATTGAAATTGAAATCAAACACGTATCAAATTTTTCTCCTCTCGCTTTTTTAAAAGCACCTTGGATTTAATTTCTTTCCATCAAAAACTCGTGACTTTATAAAAAATTTTTGACTTTTTTAATTGTCTTTTGAAAAAGTGTCATACAATATCAGCCTAAAATAACAAAATTTGTGGTTTTCAGACCTAACGCTATCAGTCATAGAATAAACGACAATGACAGTTTATTTAGTTTTCATAGAGAATGTTGCTTAACAGTCTATTTGTGAAGATTCCACCTGGTTTTTCATCTTCTCGAATTCTGAACAGTAACTCCTTGTCGATTACTTCGATAGGATTATCATCTAGATCTATCACTCGAACCTCAATATCAAGTTGGTCATAAGAATCTCCACTCTGTGCAACGATCATTAACTGGAATTCATACGTCATTGGTAAATCTCTGATAATAAAGAGTCAAACAGTGATTATTTAAGAAAGTGCAGTTGTTGATCTGTGATGTTAAATTCACCGCGTAACGATCAGTATCTTCAAAGTCAAGGCTTCTAGTTGCAAAAAGTTCTCCAGTGGCGGGATTTAAAAAGAATGTATCTGTTTCATTTATAAACTCTTCTCCACTCCATATTGCATATCGAAGTTGGCAGTTTGAATTTGGAACTTCAGCGACGAACTGACCTACCTTTTTCAGCGCTGGTTGATTCTGTAAGCTGTCTTACAATTATTAAACAGAATTTCAGATATGTCAGCTATAGTATAGTATATTATATTTTGTGACTAACTCTCGGAAAACTTGAAAAAAGAAACTACTGTATCATATGATAAAATAAGGAAAATAACCTCTTCTATTTCAAAAACCGATGAAGTATACGAAGAAAAGGTTGGTTGACACCTTGTGTACGGAACAATGCTTAAAAAGACGGTCGCTGATGCACCGTTGTGCCTTCTGTCTCGCGCAATAACTGCAAACTGATAGTCGCCACTGTAACCAAACAGTGGTTCAGTATTTGAAATAGTTCCTCTTTCATCCACGCGAAGTAACGAAGACAGTTTGGCTGAATCTGCGTTCATCATCAGGGAATAGTCAAGATCAGAATTATCATTGTCTGTTGCCTTAAAATAGCTGACTTTTAGAGATTATACGATGCTGAATGCAGGCTACCCTCCTATTCATGTAATTTAGTACCAGTAAAAAACTCAAAAAGTAAAAAAAAACGAAGCTTTGACTAATTCTTTTTATAAAGTAAATATTTAATTTTTTGTAGAACAGGAGTGACTAGTAAGGTTAGGGGGTGCAAATACTTACTTTGGTGTGAACGATAAACGTATTTAGAGGGCTGTTCTCCATGACTGATGCGGTGTATGAACGGTTTGAAAATATCGGTTCAGCATCGTCTTCGTCAACAACATTTACTGTCACCTGTAACATTGCTCTACAAACAGTTATAGTAATTTCAAAAAAATTTCAAGCGGTCATTATGCTGATTTTAATATAATTTGAGTTCTCAAAAAGAAGCTACTGCAATTTTTGCTAAAAACTCGTTCCTAAGGACTGCGCGACAGATTAACATCAGTAAAATGTAGAACGCTGTTAAAAGGTTAAAACAGGATAGACATTGTCAACTAAGCCTTTTCTACAATTAAATTATCGAAGCCAAAAATAAATTAAAAAAATATAATATTTTGAAAACAATTTACGGGAACTAGTGAGAACTGGCCGTCTGAATGAGAAGCTCGAACAAATGTTGTCAACTGAGCTTTGCTCTCTCTGTCAATTTCCTTTGCCGTATGTATGGTGCCCTTCAATAAGAAATTGGGAAATAAATTAGTTGTTATATTTAATGGGAACTGCGATTTGTTGCTTTGAAGTTTGAAGAAGTTCACTCTGTAAAATTGGCTTAGCTTTCAAAGTAGCCACTTTTTAATAGTTACTGATTATGACATTTGTAAACCTAAATTTACCTGTTTGTCAACTTCAAAATATTGCCAATCTTTTCCTTGTATGTCGTATGAAACATCACCCGTTACTGATCTCACCATCGAATCGTTTATTACCGTACCTTAATTTATGTAGTTTTCATAGAAGTCATTCATAAGGCAGTGATAAACTTTTTTTTTCTTGTCTGTGAAAGTTGAGTAAAGTGTAATATGGCAAAGTTAAACCTAAAGGAACATTTTCAGTAATGCTGAACAAAAAGCTGTTGGCAGAAAAATCGGAAATATGTTTTCTCTGGGACGGAATCACCGCTACTTGTAGGGTTGTCGTTGTACTTTTTTGGCTTTCCAGCATCGTCGCAATAACTGTTACATTAGCAGCAGTTAAACCTCGCAAGTTTGATATAGTTGTTATTACACCTTTAATTTAGCAGATATAGCTCAACAAAAAAAAAAAGTTCTTTAAAAAAGGCAAGGTTTATTCTATAGAATATAAAACCTGTAGCAGAATTTGCAGCAAAATATCTTTGTCCTTCAGAAAGCGTATATATTATATGATAGTTTTTCAGCACTTGAAGTGGAGCTGGCTTTATATTAATTGTGTAAATGTATGATCCTATAGGAGCATCTTCAGAAACGACTATTCGACGTGTTAGGTTAGAGAACTGTAATAACTCGGATTCCGAAATATTTTTTTCCGGTGTCATGAAGTGTATAACAAATTTTGCTGCAAAAATCTCTTTTTAAATAATGATACCCTAATTCGCTGCAAAATGAACTTGTTTATTTTCTGTAATAGTGGAGTACATATGACACTTTTTGAAAATCTTTTCAAATGCTTTAAACACAAAACAAAAATTTTGTTTGTAGAAATGATTTCTAAAATGCTGTACCTTTATCTTCTGGTTCAGCCAAATGACTCAGGTCGACTACCTTAACAGTTATTTGTACAGCAAGTACAGTAGTATTTGAAAAACTTTTTTTTAGATAAATGGTGCCGTCGTCTAAACCATTGTTACTGAACGAAAAATGGGTGATATAACTGAGTGGATCTTGAACACTGACGCCAATTTCGTCAATGACATTTAACGAGTCTATCGAATATTGCAACTTGGCATTTGGATCGCTATCAGTTGCTTTAAATTTATACAATTCAGTTCCTGGCGATATATCTGCAAAAAGCGACAATTATCAACAATATCTGTAAACTGTGCAACGATTCCAGAAATATTATTCAGCTAAAATCTCCAGTAAATATATAACGCCCGTTTAATTTTTTAAGTGGTTTGAAAACTGTCAAGTTCTTACAATTAGACAACCTTTATTCATGGTTCTTGTCAGAGCGCCGTGTTTAACGAATTTTGGTGGTGAACTTTCTAAACCAGCAATTAGTATTTGAGCAGTCGCAACATCAAGTTTTGTAGGCGTTGACTCATCTAATGCCAGTAACTGTTAAGAAAAAACAAAGTTACTGTCGTTTACAGCCACAAAAAATATCTCCAGGTTTGAAAGTGATGTTTTAGCTTATATAAGGAATATAGTAACTAATAAAAAAAATTTCAACTTTTAATGTATAATTATGAGCATTTCTTTCCAGCGGTCCTTCGTAGTAGATACGACCGTCAGTAGAATTAATGGAAAATAGTTGCGCACCACCTTCCGAGAGATGATACGTTAGTCTACCATTGGAAACTTCAGCAAACGCTTGTCCAACATATTTTTGACCGGGATGAGCGGCAAACGCATAAATAGCCTGGCAAAAGCATTATACTGCAAATAAGACCCAAAATCCTTGCCATAAATAGTTTACGAAAAATCTTTTTTTTTTTTTGTTTAGAATTTTGGACTTGTAACGCATTGAAAGTCTTAGAATTTGCCCTCTTTTTCATGCTACCTGGCTAAAAGCTGGTCCAGAAAAACTGTCACCAAATCGTGGCTCTAACGTAACCATAATAACAGCTTTGTCTGTTTGGTTTGTCTCGTCAGATACAAGGACTGTTAAATTGAAATGCTCAGCAAATTTTTCGATGGTTAGTTCTTCGGCTGCCTGCAAAAAACCAAACAAAGAGCGTTGTTACTAGCGGTACGATACAAATCAAAGTACAAAGTGCTCACAGTAATACTTAAGACTCCATAAGTCTTATCGATCTCAAAAACATCAGCATGATCCGTGAGCGTGTAAGTTAGAACTAAGGAGTCTGGATCGCTAGCCTCCAAAATAATCAAGTCGTCATTAGCTGACTTCTCTCTCAGCCTTAATGCTAACAAGTTCTGCTTAAACTTTGGTGGACTGCGAACAGAAAGTTCGGTATTTTCTCCACCGCCTTGTGAAAGTGGTACTCCACTATGACCACCAGTTTTTTTATCTATTATTCTCTGATACTGTTGAACCCTATTAAGGCTTATATAAATTGGGACGTCATAAGCCCGCGATGAATCGCTGTCAATTGCACGAAGCAGAAGGGCAAAGTTTGACGACAGCTGCAGACATTCAGTACCACAAGCGATAGTTTTTAGAATGACTGCATCTTTGAATGGTTCGACAACGAAGCTAAATTGACTTCTCGTTAAATGAAAAAAAAAAATTAGAAGACGAAAAGTGACTTACATGTAACATTAAAAATAGATTTTTTACGCAAAAGCTATCATTAATTAGTTATACTTTTCACTAATCGTTTGTGATTTGATAGTTTTTTCGATAAATTATTTTAACAAAATTTTTTATGTTGAGGTAATGCTTATATTTTATTACACTATTCTGCATAGCTCATCAGGCAACTTTTTTTGAACCAACTATGCAATACTTCCAGTAGAACTTTGCTTCACTTACTATTTAGCCCAAGTTCCATAAAGCATAAAGCGCATATCGTCAGTTGAATAACCATCGATCAACTAAAGTCAACAGTAATATTAAAAATTATAGAGATTTCCCACTAAATAACATTCAAACAAAATCCGAACAAATAAAATAGTATCTTAAATAAACAAACGAATCCTGCATCAACCGCTAGAAAATTAAAACTTTTTTTAGATAATCTTTACTTTTAAAACTTTTATTTTTTCTTTCGGTTAACCATCAGACAGAAGAACAACCATCTATGTGTTTAGAAAATTGAATCTAGCAGAGTTATTATTATTATTTTTTTTTGCATTTTCAATGTTGTATCGATGTAGAAAAACAATTTTTTTTAAACATCAGTAGTGAATTGCTTGAAATCGACATTAAATTTGTCTACTTCACATGAAAAAAAATGCTTTATCGATAAATCGTTTCCTTTTTTGGCTCTAAAAAGTGCTGATTATACCCATTAAAAAAAAACCAAAACAGCACTATACAGTTATTTTTTTTTTGCTTTTTTTTAAAGCGAACAATTTAGGTACAATACAAAAAAGAAACAATAAAATTTACTTTTAAAGTACCAATTGTAGCTGATGTAAATGATGATGGTAAGCGAAAACGATAGTCACTAGAATCAAAAATTTCTTTTGGTGCTTCACCAATGACTGCACCAATCAAGTTAAAGCTACCAGCCAGTTCTTCAGCTTCTGTTTCAGCTAACACCTAAACAATTCTTTAATACAGCCTGGAAAGAAAAGTGGCACGATAAATTTTATTACGTTAACCAAAAACAATATAATTTTGCATAACTATTTACTTCTAAGGTAAAGCTGGAGATGTTGTTTAGAATGGCTGTGTTTTCGACCACAATGTCAAACTGTTGCCCGGGTTGAACGGCTTGTGGTCGAATAGAAAATGCACTCGAGTAATCATTGGGTTTCAGCGATAAAAAGTACGTCTTATTCGATATCTGTAAAGTTATCTTATACACTACTGCTTTTTCTGGTTGTCGCTGTCAGTGATAATAGTGCAACTTTTTATTGGCGTAAGTTTAACAAACTTTTTTTTTGCAGATGAAAATAGAACAACTTATTGGCAGCTCTTAGACTACACCGGTACTTTTCTTTGTCACTGACGCCTATAGAATTTTTTTTTAAAATTAAAATTTTGTAACTTCTTTCTGGTAGGTTCAAAGGTAAAATAATAAATGAAAAAGAACACTGTAAATATAATTATAAAAACTTTTATGCATTTACTAAAAAAAAGTAAACTTTGGTTTTTTGTTAGCTCTCACAAGCAATAAATTTTTACTGTTCTTTAATTTAGTCAAATTAAATACCATTAATTGACGAAGTAATCTCAATGAGTCAAAAAAAGAAATTATACAGAATAAAGCAAAACTGTACCGAAATAATTGGTGGTGTAATAAACGGTAGTGGACGCTGTTGTGCATAGTTTCTTGGTATTGCAGTTTGCAACTGACTTAAACCAAATACTCCATCTAAAAATTGATTGACATCTGTGATGAAAAAGAAGAAGCTATGAAAACTTGATAGAAAAAGAATGTTTATTCTAAGATGCATAAATTGAACTTAGATCATTTATTAGGTGCAAAATAGAATTGGGAAACCTAGACCGGAGTGTTTATTCAACTTTTAACTCAAAATTTTACAGTTAACAAAAGTGTTGATTAGTTGTGTTATTTTTGTTTGAAATATTTCTGATTACTACAATAACAAACAAATATTTTTTATCCTCTGTTGTTAAATAAAATGAAGATACTGTTTTTTTGAATAAAATAACACAATCATCAATATAATGTTCAGGAACATTTCTTTGTTTAACTTCTTTTTATTTTGATTTACTTTACAGCTACATTTAAAAATGTGCTGTATGGCTATTACACATTCCCGTCTTTACTCGGGTACTCTTCCAAAGTAGGAAACGGTTACAATTCACAACCAAAAGAAGATAAAGAAGAAAGAAAACGACAAGAAGAACAAAGCAAATGTCTAAAGAAACGTAAATTAAATCAGCAATTGTAATTCCTTCTGTTTTTCTTTTTCTTTTTTTTTTTTTTTTTTTTTTT